TCAATGACATGAGACAAAGTATATGTGAACTGCTGTATGGAAAGTGAATTTGCTCTGTAAATCTTCACCCAAATCACAAAAAAAAAAGAAAAAAAAAAAAGTGATCTGGACAAGCGAGCATTTCATAGTCACAGAAACAGTGCCTAAGACCTACTGTGTAAGATGAATCAGTAGACTCATTTTCAGAAATAAAGATCTTACCCATTTACCTATATGCACACTATATAATAATTCTAGTCTACCTAAAAAACAAACAAAAAAGTGTGGAATGCATATCAAATCTTCATATCTAGCAGTTACTATTAGCAGGCACTTTTCTTAACAGATTCCATATGTTAATATATTTATTCTCCACAACTATCTTATGAGGTCTAACCCTATTAGTTCACTTTTGCATATGAGGAAACTGAGTCAGAGAGAACAAATTATAAAGGTTTTAACACAGCAATGTGACTCTAACATCTAATCTGGGGAAAGGGGAAATCCACAATTTGCATGCTTTGTGAGGATCTTTATTTACAAAGTAAAATTCATTAACAATATCAGAACTTATTTAATGAGATTATTTCTGATTAGTCAGACTTTTCTGTGAGTTGTTTCATTTTTGCTAGTCAGTGAGCGGTCTTGTCAGGCTCTTTAACAAATATTTTAGATTTTATGAAATAGCTCTGTCCCTAGCAATATAGACACAACTGAGAACTGAAAATTCACTGATGTACTTTTTAATAAAACAAGTATTTTATCTAATGGCAATTATTCCTCATATTTTTAGGTAGAATTGCAACCCAAGTATGAAGACAATCTGTACATGTACCTTTATTTTGTCATCTTTATTATTTTTGGTTCCTTTTTCACTCTGAATCTCTTCATTGGTGTCATCATAGATAACTTCAACCAGCAGAAAAAGAAGATAAGTATACTAAAGCTTCATCTTTGTTCTAACGTGTGAACTAAACAGGCCACGTTGTTGCCTTTTGGCTCCAAAATGCAAAAAGTAAAAGGAAAGAATATAAAATTTAGAAATTATTTTGAGAGATTCAATTAGCTATAATTTTTTAGGTAATTGACCATTCAGATAACATGTTTTGGTATCTCTACTAAAGATATATAATGGACTAATATGGCATAATTGATACAGTGAATGTACACATCTTCATAATTACAGGTAGTAGCAATAAAAACCAAAAAACCAAGCTCACTGCAGTCAAGTCGATTTAACTCATAGCAACCCCTCCTTGGGTTTCCAAAGTGGTATCACTACAGAAGTAGGTTGCCCAACCTTCCTTCTGAGGAGTGGCTGGTGGGTTGAATAACCAGCCTTCTGGTTAGTTGTCAAATGCCTTAAGCACTATACCACCAGAGCTTCCTGGTAGTAGCAATAGTGGAACAGAATATAAGAACCAGTTTTCACATGATTGCTGTTACATGCTGTCAAGTCGATTCTAACTCCTAATAACCCTATAGCACAGAATAGAATTTTTTACAGGAGCAGATCACCAAGTCTTTTCTCCCATGGAGTGGCTGGTGGATTCAAACCACTGAACTTTTGCTTAGCAGCTGAATGTTTAATCATTTCTAAGGTGGTATTATAACTAGCAAAGAACATGGTTTTAACAAGTTTTGCTTTCATTTCTTTACTTTGGAGGTCAAGACATTTTTATGACAGAAGAACAGAAGAAATACTACAATGCAATGAAAAAACTTGGTTCAAAGAAACCACAAAAACCCATACCTCGACCTGCTGTAAGAATTACATACTTTCATCACTAGTAACAGCTATGTCATCTATCAGTTTACAACCAATAATCTCTAGAAACTAATGTTTCTGTGTATTTGCAAGTTTTTACCTTAGCAGTATGAAAGAGTGCATGAAAGTAAAGCAAGACCATAGAACATCTGGAATAAATACTATGCAGATGTGGGTACAAAGGAACAAAACAGGGTTCAATGATCAGAACTTGTTTATGAGGATTTAATATCATAAACAAGACTTGGGCCAGTTAGTACTTGGATATAAGGTCCAAATTGACTAGAACAAAGGTTGAATTTCTGAATAGGAGCCATAACTTTTTTTTTTAAAAGATAATTTCATTCTTATATAAGAGTTGTGAAAAGATTGGAGAATGTTTCCCATAAAATCTTCACCCAGCTTTCCCTTATGTTAATATCTTACATAACCACAGAGCAGTTATCAAGCTATATTAACCTTGGTACAATCCCATTAAATAGAGTACAGAACTTAACTGGATATAACTAGTTTTTTTCCACTAATGGCCTTTTCTTTGAACTATAATTTTTAGAACACTTACTCAGTTACATCTTAAGGTGGAATTTAAGATGCTATGTCTTTGAGTAGAAAATATAAAGACAGAAACCAATTTGTGTATGTGTGTTGGGGCATTGGCAATGATAGAAACACCTGGAGGATTACTTGTGTATTAGTTCTTTAAAGTAAATTTTTATTAATACATCCTCAGCACTTAGGATAACAAATATTTATTATAGTGTCAAATATTTATTGACTGTCATACATGTAGTGATGTTCTGAGCACTGATAAAATAGTAGGTATTTTTTACATAATCACTTCATAAAATATAGTATCATAAATAGTATAGATGAAACTAACATGTTTGTGAAAGTGGTAGATATGACAATAGACAAAATTCATTCTAAGAATAAGCAAACAGAATATGTTTTTATAAATTCTACATTTTAATATTGCTATATTAAAATCAGAGAAATTGGCTTAGGTTTTTTTTTTCTTTTGTTTTGTTTTTTGATTTTTTAATTATCTAAAATAACTTCAACATATTTTTTGTTCCAGAACAAATTCCAAGGAATGGTCTTTGATTTTGTAACCAAACAAGTATTTGATATCAGCATCATGATCCTCATCTGCCTCAACATGGTCACCATGATGGTGGAAACAGATGATCAGAGTCAAGAAATGACCAACATTCTATACTGGATTAATCTGGTGTTTATTGTTCTGTTCACTGGAGAATGTGTGCTGAAGCTGATCTCTCTCCGTTATTACTATTTCACCATTGGATGGAATATTTTTGATTTTGTAGTAGTCATTCTCTCCATTGTAGGTAAGAATGGATGCTTTTACTCAAATAAGAAAGTTAATGGTGAAAACTTACGTTTTAAAATTTGGAGGTGTGTTCCATTCATCTTTCTCATTCATCCTAGACTAAAAAAAAAAAAAAAAAACAGTCTGGTACTCAATTCTTCACTTTGTCATGTCTTTGATTGTGTGCTGTGCATGAAATGATGTGTAAATATATACATGTTTTCAGCTTTAATTTATCCCCTTGTCTCATTTCAGATGACAATAGGTGTGACTTTGGCATAATAATCATACACTCAGCCATACTTCTGTTATGTTAACAAGGATCACTTTAATTAAAGAATTCACACACACATACACACATGAATCATTAAAACAATCTCAACCCACTGCCTTCGGGTTGATTATGATTCATAGTGATCCTATAGGACAAAGTAGAATGTCCCCATAATGTTTCCAAGGCTGTAAATATTTATAGAAGCAAACTGCCTCATCTTTCTTCCATGGAGCAGCTGGTGGGTTTGAGCCACTGACCTTCTGGTTAGCAGTTGAATGCTTTAACAGCTGTACCACCAGACATAAATCATTAAAAGTAGTCAAATAATCTATAAATTGTATATAATTCTCTTTGTTAATTATAATAGTGTGCATGTGTGTTTATATGCATAATCATTCACATGATTATGATATCTTTGAATTTAGATAGTGTTGTATGACTTACTATTTTCCCTCAGAAATAGACAGTTTGTCCAAAAATCCAAAAAGGTTCATTAACATCAACATATATTATATTAAGTGTTTATCTATCAATCATTGTACTAAGTGCTATAAGTAAGTAAAAGGAGATTTTAGACAGGATTCTGCCTACTTGAGCAAAGAGAATATATATAAAGAGAGAAATGTTATGCCACTATTTATACCTTACAATTAATTTCTCTGGTAAAACTGCATGTTTTAATAATGTGCTCTGTCATTAAATCCTCACAAGAGTGCTATGATATAGTAATATAGTAATTAAGAGATGACAGTCAGAGAGCATACAGATTATGTAGCTCTTCGATTCCTGGTGTTCCAAGTAATACTTCTGCAAAATATTGTGAGGATTAAATGAGATTATCCAAGAAATTACACCAAGCCCTGTGTCTGGTACAAAGACAAAACTCTACAGTAAACATTGAATTTAACAAAAAATAAAAAATAAAAAAAAGAAAGAAAAGAAAAGCAAGAAGACAAAAGTAATCTCACCATTTATTGATGCATAAAATCAAGAGTCAGGATTTATTCCCAAGTATTTCTGTCTCCAAAGCCTATATTCTTCCCTCTACATCACTCTGCATCTTCCCCCATACAAACAAAAAAAAAAAAAGCAATTACAAAAACCTTAGAAGAATAAACCCACTGTCATTGAGTTGATTCTGATTCAAAGCGACCCCCAATGGGTTTCTGAGGTGGTAAATCTTTATGGAAGTAGATTGCCCAGTCTTGCTTCTGCATGGGGGCTGGTGGGTTTGAACCACCAACCTTCTGGTTAGCAGTCAAATGCCTTAGGTGCTATGCCACCAGGGCTCCCTGTTTTTCTTTTTGGTTTTTGGAATGTTTATTTAGCGATGTGAATTTTTCACTTGTTATTATTAAATATAACACTATTTTTGTTGTTGTTTATTGGTTTTCCACAGGTATGTTTCTGGCTGAGCTGATAGAAAAGTATTTTGTGTCCCCTACCCTGTTCCGAGTGATCCGACTCGCCAGGATTGGCCGAATCCTGCGTCTGATCAAAGGAGCGAAGGGGATCCGCACCTTGCTGTTCGCTTTGATGATGTCCCTCCCAGCATTGTTCAACATCGGCCTCCTGCTCTTCCTGGTCATGTTCATCTACGCCATCTTTGGAATGTCCAACTTTGCCTATGTTAA